CGCCCACCCTGCTGCCCGGTTATTCCTCGAACCTGCCCGGTTCAGGCCTTTGCAGTTGCCATTCCTCAGCCTGGGACCCTTCGCCCAGAGCTTCCAGGCCCAGCGCCTCCTGCCAGGGGCCCTCGCTGACCACCCCCAGCAGAGGCGGCCCCTCCCCTCCTCTCGGGCACCAGCGCTCGGTGCCCACCTGCGGGGACGCCACCGAAACCAGAGAGCTGTTACTTCTCTACCCAGCTCCTGACCTCGGGCGACTCAGACATCTGCGGCAACCTCCCACCAACCCCCACGGCAGGCTGTGGCCTCCCCTTGCACACCCCCAGTAACGAGGAGCTCCCTCCCACCGCAGCCCTCAGTGACCCCTGAGGTGGCTGCCATCACCCCTGCTTTACAGACGCGTCAACTGAGGCTCTGAGCAAGGAAGGGACAGGCCCAGCGTCACACAGCCGGTCACAGGTGGAGATGGGACCCGACTCCAGGTGCCTCTGGTCACCTGCCCTCTGACTTCTGGGAAGCACGTGCTGGCTGAGGCTCAAGTGACATGGTGGGCAGCTGTCCTCTGTCTTGTCCTCAAAGCCTCTTCCTGCTCTGGGCATCAGGGGCCTTCTCCAGGCTGGCACCGGGAAGGCCTATTCCCCGGTCCTGCTGGGCGCCCTCTGCATGACAGAGCCCGTCACCACCACCCACTGGCTGCGGATCTTCTGCTTCTATTGTGAGGCTGCTGCCACAGCCTGTGCCAGGGTCAGAGGTCAGAGGTCAAGGCCAACCACCTGGCAGGCACACTGGAGACTGCGGGCTGAGCATCCTCCGCCCAGAGAGCAGACACTCTGAATTGCTGTGGGAAGCGAAGCCAGAGCTTTGGGGAGGGCCAGAGCCTGGCTGGACCTGCTGCCGGAGGGGCTGGAGGGGCCCGCCAGGGCTGCCGGCCTGTGGCAACAGCCCAGGCCCACGGCAACCGCTGGGCCGGCGTCCCCGGCCAGCCCGGCGGCGTCCCTGGTGCCCCGGCTTCTCCCGATGGGCAGAGCCCTGAGGGATCCAACCACCACCATCGGGGCTCTGGAGACTCTGGAAATAAACCTGTGCGCCCGGCCCCAGAGTCATCCCACAGCACGCCATGACAACAACGTGACAACATGACACGCACCGAGCCTTCTCAGTGCCAGGAGCTCAGACTGCGCCCTCCCGGTGAGACTCGCAACAGCCCCTCTGTACAGAGGGAGACTGAGTCTCAGAGAGGTGATGTCACTTGCCTAAGACCCCAGGGCTGGGAAAGCAGCTAATTCATTTTTCAAAAGCAGCCCCATCTGAGTCTCGACACCTGGTTTTCTAAGATGGTTTACTCTAAGCAGTGGAAGCTCTTTCCCTCCCTCCCTTCCTTCCTTTTTTTTTTTTTTTTTTTTTGAGTGAGTCAGGGTCTCACTCTGTCACCCAGGCTGGAGTGCAGTGGCATCGTCATAGCTCACAGCAACCTCAAACTAAACTCCCGGGCTCAAGTGATCCTCCTGCCTCAGCCTCCAGAGCAGCTGGGACTACAGGAGTGTGCCACCAGGTCCGGCTAATTTTTTCTATTTTTTAGTAGAGACAAGATCTTGCTCTTGCTCAGGCTGGTCTTGAACTCCTGACTTCAAGCGATCCTCCCACCCTGGCCTCCCAGAGTGCTAGGATCACAGACATGAGCCACCGCGCCCAGCCTGAAGTTAAGTTCCATGGGGAACCCGATAATGTCACATAGATAACACCATGTATTTGGGCTGTTACTTGCCTTTCAAGGTGTCACAGCCTTGAGATTTTTTATAAATAACAAGAAAATAGTTTTTATCTGTGCTTGCATTTTTCTGACGCCTTCCAGTTGTATTTGGAATAAAATGCTAAGTCCTCACGGGGGTCCTCTGGTCCCATGTACTTCCCCACTCGCCATATCCGTCTCTGTGCTCCTGCCACGCTGGCCTGTTGTTCTTTCTTCAAAACGTGCTCAACACTTCCCCACCTCAGGGCCTTTGCACAAGCTGTTCCCTCTGCCTGGACTGCCCAGCAAATCTGACTCAGGATTAAACTCTCTGTCCAAAAGTCACCTCCTTGAGACTATGAAACCTGAGTAACCAGGACAGTGTGGTGTTGGCCTGAGGACAGACACATGGGCCAATGGGACGAACAGAGCCCAGAAGCACAGCCCGATGTGGAGAGACACTGGCTGCAGGATGCAGGCGGCCCTGCAGGACAGAGTAGGGAAAGATGATCGCTGAGCAGACGGCGCAGGAACAACCAGGTTTCATATGCAGAAGAGCTGCGGCCACCACCCCACACGAGACACAAAAACTAAGTGCAAAGGGCTCACAGTCCAAAATGTGGCAGCCCCGACAATAAAGCTTCTAAGAAAAAAAAGGACAAGAAAATATCTTCATGACCCGGGGTAGGCAAAGATTTCTTAAGCAGAACACAAAAATCACGTGTAAAAGAAAGCAACTGATAAACTGGACTTCATTAAAATTAAGAACTTCAGTTCCTGACGAGGCAGCCCACGGGGCAGGAAATGATGTTTGCAGGGCAAAGACAGCGTCCGGATTACAGAAAAGCTCCTACAAATCAACGCGGACAGAAAGCGCATCCAACACCAGGCACTTCACAAGGAGCAAATTCCAATGGCCAATGCACATATGAAAAGGTGCTTGACCTCCGTGAGTCATCCGGGAAACGCAAATTAAAGCCACACTGAGACACCAGCACACACCCACCGATGACACTGAGCACCAAGTGCTGGGAAGGACGCACAACGCCGAGCTGGAACTCGCACGCTGCTGGCAGGACACAAAATGGTGCAGCCTCTTTGGGAAAAGTTTGGTAATTTTTTTTTTTAAGCTACAGGGTCTCACTCTGTCACCCAGGCTAGAGTGCAGTGGCATCATCCAGTTCACTTCAACCTCAGACTCCTGGGCTCCACAGATCCTCCTGCTTCAGCCTCCCGAGTAGCTGGAACTATAGGTGTGCGCCACCACGCCCAGCTATTTTTATTATTTTTTATAGAGACACGGTCTTGCACTCACTCAGGCTGGTCTCGAACTCCTGGCCTCAAGTGATCCTCCCACAGCACTGGGATTATCGGTGTAAACCGCTGCGCCCAGCCAATTTCTTATAAAGTTAAATGTGCACTTACTATGTGACCTAGCAACGCCATTTCTAGGAATCTACCCAAGAGAAGTGAAAGTGTACGTCCATACAAAGACCTAAATGCAAATTTCATAACATAGCACTATTCATAAAAGTCCCCAAATAGAAGTAACACAAATGTTCAACAGAGGATGGTACGAATCAATTGTGTGACTCTGGGACATCAATACGATAGCAGACTATTCGGCAATCAAAGCAAACACAGTACTGACACATGCAAGAACATGATGAATCCCTGCAACACCACGCTGGGCGAAAGCAGCCAGACATAAATGGCAACCTACTGTGTGATTCCATTCCCATGACATTCAAGAACAGAAATCAAACCTGTGGGCTAGCCTCAGCAAGAGCGAGACCCCGTCTCCACTAAAAATAGGAAAAAATTAGCCGGGCATGGTGGCGCATACCTGTAGTCCCAGCTACTTGGGAGGCCGAGGCAGGAGGATCGCTTGAGCCCAGGAGTTCGAGGCTGCAGTGAGCTAGGCTGACACTGCACTCCAGCCTGGGTGACAGAGCAAGACTCTGTCTCCCAAAAAAAAAAAACTGTGGAGACAGGAGTCGGGGGTGGGGGCTGCTGGGTCCTGGCAGGGTGGAGGCAGCGGGGAGCCCTCTGGGGTACCGGCCCCTTGGGGTGCGCACATGGACAACACCCCTGGAGCTTCAGATGCGCCGCACACACTTGAGGGCGTGCGTGTTACACCGCAATGAAGTTCAAAAGGTTATTTTGCACCGGAGATTCTCTGATCACCCACCACCCCCAACCACCGCCCCTCAGTTATCCTCCCAGAGACCCCACTGCTTTTCCTTTAAAACAAGTCACAGTTGACAGTTCCATGTTCATTTGGGGGTCTATTCCGTCAACAGCTTCCACCGGAACACCAGCGTCCCCAGGACGCAGCACATGCCCGGCACAGTAGGTGCGACAGGCATCTGCTGACGGAAGGAACCCAACTGCGGGGCCCGCTGTGGACCCCGGGCTGAGGCCCGCTCCGGAGCAAGGCCCTAGCACATGGCGGGACGGAAAGAGAAGGGAATTAATGCAAAAGCCTCGCGGTCCCGTCAACTCGGCACACCTGACTCAAAGACGCAGCTGCAGAACGTGGCGACCCTGCCCAGCTGCACGGTGGGAATTAAGCCGGTTGTGAAGGAAAACGACAGTTTTTTAAACTTGAAAAACAATAAAACATCAACAACGCACAGGAGGCACAAAGGAATTCTACGACAGTTTTGAACCTTCTAGAAATAAAACATCTATGTGTCATCGTCACTCAAGGCTAGAGTCTTCAAAGACCTTGGACCAACCTGCCACCACCAGTCCAGTGACACTCAAATAAGAATCAAAAGAGACGTCCCTGGACATTCTACACAGTCCTTGACTGGCACTGCTCAAAACTGTCAAGGCCATCAAAACCAGGGACTTAGAAACTGTCATGGCCAAGAGGCACCAAAGCAGACAACTAAATCTTATGTGGTATTCCGGGTGGCACGCTGGAACAGAAAAGTGACATGAAAGAAAAACTAGCAAATCCCAAAGAAACCGTGGAGTTCAGTTAACAGGCACTAATGCCGGTTCCTTAGTCGTGACAGACGTGCACAGTAGTGTAAGATGATAGTATCAGGTGAAGCTGGGTACAGCGTAAAAACGAACGCTTCTATCTTCACAACTTTCCTGTAAATCTAAAATGACTCTAAAATTAAAAATTCATTTTTAAAAGGGTATACTTCCCTCTGGGCACTTTGCAGCCACCAGCTGGAAAACTGTCCCATCCCCACCTCCATGCTCTCAACATGGTGAATGACACGCTGGTGCAGTGTGCAACTTGTGCAACGGTGCTTACCTTGGGCGGGTCGAAGAGCTCCAGCACGCGCTCGGGGCCTCCGCCTTCCGGGCCTGGGGCCCTGCGCAGCGCCAGCCTCCCGCGCTGCCAGCGTGCCCCGCTGTCCATGGAGGCCTCGTCGGCCAGGCTGTACCGCAGCACCCCCTCCTTGAGGGCCTCGGGCGGTGGCTCCCGAGCCAGGCTCCAGGGCAGGAGCTTCTTGGCCAGGCTAGGCCTGGCCGGGGCCTCGCCTGCCTCCCCGGGGGCAGCGGCGGGGGCCGCGGGCAGCTCCCCGGCAGAGCGGCGGCGGAAGATGTGGCGGAGGCTGCGGCGAAAGTGCTGGAAGGAGCAGGGGCCGGGCGGCCGCGGCAGGGCCAGCTCCTCGGAGCTGCGGGCCTTGGGCAGGGCGGGCGTGGCGGGGCCGGGGCCCGGCTCGGCCGGCGGCGCCTCGGCCTTGGCTGCGGGCCCGCGGCCGGTCTCCCGGTAGTCGCGCGCCGGCGCGCTGCGGGGTCCCGGCGGCCCGGGCGCCCAGCCCTCGCGCACCTCGCGGCAGAAGTAGCGCTGGAACAGGTCGGTGAACTGCAGCGACACGAGCTCGGCGCGCAGCGGCGCGTGGTGCGGGTGCTCGCGGGCGAAGAGCCAGTACTGGCGGGCCAGCTCCCGGGCCGTAGCCACCGCGTGCAGCTCGCAGAACTCGCTCCAGCCCCGCGGAGACGGGGACGCCGCTGTCGCAGCAAGGGAGGCCGGGGAGGCCGAGGACGGCTGCAGGGTGGGCCCGTTCATGGCGGAGACCGAGGTGGGGCGGCCAGGCTGAAAGACACGTGGGGAGTGAGTGACAAACGAGCGAGCAGGCAGGCAGCACATGACGCATGACGACTCCAAACCAGCCCCAGGAGCCCAGCCGTTCACCCAGCGCGACAGCGAAGATCAAAAATGACCGTAATACCCGGTGCTGGAGAAGATGCAGAGACGCGGGCGCTCCCCACAGTGTGACCCGTGCTGTGAAGGAGGGCGGCCTTTTCGGAGGACAATTTGGCGGAATCAGATTTAGAGCCAGGAATCCCTCTTCGAATATTCAAGAGCAGCACTAGGTCGTGTGCAGAGAGGTGTGTACGGAACGGAACGCTTCCCAGACAGACGCTTCCTGCCTCAGTGTTTACAACAGGGAAAGCTTAGGCTCGCCCGAGTGCCCGGCAGCGGACAGGCCGAAA